CTTGTAATAAATGTAGATTCGCAAGATCTAAAAAAAAAAGTGAATCAGCCAGTAGCTCCAATATTGAAAACAATTCCATTGAAATAATTCCTATACAGGAAGTTAGTCACTCCAATATTGAAAACAATTCCATCGAAATAATTCCTATACAAGAAGTTAGTAGCTCCAATATTGAAAATAATTTCATTGAGATAATTCCTATACAAGAAGTTAGTCAATATATTATAAATACAATTGATGACTTAGAAGACTATGCTGAACTTTCTCTTGTCCTTCGTATTCAGCTTGATGAATCCATGATAAGTGATACTGATATAAATGTCAAAACCATAGCGAAATTAATAATTGATGAAATAGAAGATGGAGATGGTTACAACTGGACGTATGTAATAAATAAATATATACTTATCTTATATTGTTTAATTATAGTTGCCGTCCAAATTACAATTTTTAAAAAAAATTTAAGATTGTTTTTTAAAATTATTATAACATATAACATGTATTTAATTATATACTAATTACCTGTAAATATAGAGCCACGACTGCACCTAACCTTTCAGCTCGTCATCATAACATCGGAAATGCTTACTTTGCTTGCTCCCAAAGTTCAGAGCTTGAACGTGAACTTAAAGATTCGAATCGAAAAAGAACCATTCGTTATAATTGTGGTGGCAAAGTATCAATTAAAATTGATATACCAGCGGCAGAAGCAAAGATAACATTAAAGCATAAAATTTTGCATAATAAACCTATTGAGGTTGAAACGCCATCTGAAGTAAAACAAGAAATTAATAAGCACTTACACTTGAATCCTGTCGAATTAAGACAACATCTTCGAAAAAAATTTAATATATCCAATGTCACATCTAAGCAAATTCATTACTGGTGGTCCTATTTTACACAGCAATTCTATAAAAGTGACGAAAATCATATTGTGTCAGCACATATGTTTTTTACCAAACAAATTAATAATCATTGTACTCTATGTTTTCATCTTGATACGAGTAATACAACAGCTATCGGTTTCACAACATGCCTACTTGATAAATCCGATTACATGGAAATACACTGTGATGCCACGTATAAAACCTCCAAAGGGCGATTCGAGCTTTATGGAGTTGTTGGTAATGTTCAAGGTGTAGGTTTTGCATTAGCATACCTTATTTTAGATACGACAAAGGCTTCTAAAAATGAAAGCCAAGATGGATTACGAACTGAAGCACTTACAGGGTTTTTTCTTACTCTTCGTAATAAGGGTCTAAATCCAACTTTCTTTTACTCTGATAAAGATTTCGCCGAAATAACAGCTGCTAAAAATGTATGGCCCTTAATTGATATACAACTTTGCCTATGGCATCTAGAAAAAGCGATCAAAAATAAGCTTAAAAGTCGTAAAAAAATCGAACGTATAAATTATAATTATGAAGAGGTTATAAAAGAATTTACCTTCGTCGATTCTTCTTTTATTCCAGACCTACAACATACAGATTATGAGTATAATATTGTTTGCCCCCCTGAGCTTCATATTACAGTTGTTGAAATAATTAAAAACCATGCGAATATGCATTCTAAGATTCCTATTAATTATCATGGACAATTTTTATCCCCTACAGAAATAAGAACAAAAGCAGTTTCTGAGATATATAAATTTTGTTTCACAAACAATCTTGTAATATTATGGACCTATTTATGGTCCTCCTGGTACAAACCTACAAGATGGTGCCTTTGGGCACGTTCTACCCGAACAACCATACCACTTGGCAAAACTAACAATATGATCGAAGCGCATTGGATGGTCCTAAAACACCATTACCTTTCACACCTTAACCGTCCACGGCTTGATTATCTAATCTGGGTTATTTCTTCACGTGTTATACCTGACCAGTTTGATCGATTTCAGCAATTAGCAACTGGTAGAATAGAACCAGCGTGGTTTGATGAATTTAAAAGACAATGGAGAAATCTTCTTACCAAATTACCAAATCATAATAATTCGTATTTTATTGATTTAGACCGCTGGATTTGCAGTTGCCCATCGTTTCTTAACAATCGCTTTCTCATCTGTAAGCATTTAGTTCATAAAGTGTCAGAAAGTACAAATAATTCTGAGGGGATCAGATTGATATATTCTAATTTTAAACGACAATCTGATTATCCCTTTTTGATATGGAATGGAAGTGTAACACAAAACGTATCTGAAAATATAGAAACTATTAGAACGTATGATCAGATTAATACTATAAATCACTATAATATGGATGAAGATCATGAAATCCTTACTAACAAACGCCAGATTCTTGAGTCTAAAGCAGTGGCATTGCAACGTTTAGTTGATCACATTAATGTAGAACTAACAGCAAATAACTTACAACATGTAGAATCTATTGTAAATAATTTAAACCATGCTTTTACTATTCTCTCAGATATAGAAAAAGCAAAAAGCCATAGAAAACGACGTACAACATGGAGTGATTCCAAACCTTGGACCTTATTTTTAAGCAACGACGAAACTTAATATAATATAAAAGATTATTATTGTATTTTGAGTAACTTCGAAATTAATTAAAAGCAAGGATTTTGTCTTAAAAAAAAAAAATACTTAGCTAAATTTATTTTGTATCTTCGCAAAAACTTTAGCAAAACTTGTTAAAATTACAAAAAAATAGTTTTTAAACCCAAAAAAAGTAAAATATTTCCGTTGTAGAATCTATCAAATAGAAAATAGAACACTAAAAAATTTTCAATGTAAAATATTTGGTTCACGATAATATTTCAAAGTTCATAGTTCATTATTGACGATGCGAACTGTATTTTTGTTAAGCGATAAAATTTGTAATACAAAATGCATGTGCGACGTAGCAGGTCGATCATC